GGTCACACCTGCATGTAACTCTCATGAGCTAAATGTGACTGTACTATGTCTGGTACCTCACTGGTTCCTTCAGAGAGCCTGGGTGACTCTCTGTGATACCCCATTGACGGGCTCCAAAAATTATTTTAACCTTTGAGGTGATGTAATTTTCAGATATTTTGTCCTATTCTCGTCATTGAAAATCTTCATACTATTCCCATTGTATACTTGAATTCTGATGGGCCTACTTAATCCTTACTGAAAAATGTCAAACAATGTCTTTTGGTTAAATTCAGTTGTATTTTTCCCTTTGGTCCTTATGTCAGATCACAGTGAGAAAAGAATACAAGAATTACTATTTTTACTGTTGGAAAGCCTCAAGAGCAGAGCCAGGCACAGGCATGTAGTTCTTAAAGTAGCCACTAACTCTGGAGAAGTGAGAAGGTAACGGGGCTGTGGGTAATCACTACACACAGTCATAGGGACCACAGGTTCCATAGGGACCTTCATGCATACCTGCATGAGGATGGTATAGGGGGCACATGGTTTTGCTGTGCGTTTACAGTGCCTGCCGGACTTCTCCCTGAAGAGCTACTGACCTCTGCTGTACTGGCAGATAGGGCATGACGTGGTTCAAAGTGAATAGTTGTGCAACCTCCATGAATGGCTGAAAATCACTTATCCAATATTTTTCCCCAACATTGGACACTTTTAAGATTCAGCTGGACAGGGTGCTGGGCCATCTTGTCTAGACCGTGCTTTTGCCAAGAAAGGTTGCACCAGATGATCCTTGAGGTCCCTTCCAACCTGGTATTCTATGATTCTATGATTTTATGATTTTATGAATATGTTATTCTGTGTTTTTCCTAAGCCTACCATTTCACTTCAGCAGCTAGGCAACTTCATGGTTTTCAAAGGTGAGCAGCCTACCAGTGGATTAGGAGTCCTCTCATTCATAGTAAGTTCACAGTAAGCAGAGAGTTGTAACCAAACCAAACCAAATACAGAAACTGCCATATAAATGAAAGCCTACCTGTCAAAGAAGACAACTTTTCATTTGAGAAAGATGTTTTTAATTTTATCTTATTAAATCTCATATTCTTACACTCTCATTCTTATGCTGGGATTTCATTGAGTGCATATGTGAGCATGATGTGCATTTTACGACTCTTCCTATTAAATGTGAGCAGTAATTCTGGAAGTACATTATGCTTCATCTTTTTGAAGAATTTTAAAGCTAGTGCTGTTAATGTGAAACAGAATCTTTGGAACAGATGGGAATGGTCAGGCCCTCTGGAGCAAATATTTGGAACAAAAGCTTAATTACATGAGTACCAGATTAAGGCATTCTTATAAACAGTTTCAGTATTTTTGGCATAGTGGTAAAAAACAGAAATCAAAGAGAAGCCAAATTAACTTAGCAACCGAAGTGTAGCAGTGGATTGATTCTGAAAGTCGACAGGTGAACGTTTTCCACAGTCACAGCAGAAAGAAAGACTCTGAATTGAATAGCCAAATTCCTATTGATTTCGTTGGGAGCAGGATCAAGTCTTTAATTCGTGAAAAACTCCTGCTTTGATTTTAATGTGAGTTACGTGACTTAAACTTTGTTCAATGTTTTGGAAGCACCAGGTAAGGTTTAAAGCAAATAATAAGTTTTCTAGACTTTTAATAGCGTTATTCTTCGTAGTGCTGCTGTTACCTCAGGGTATTTACTTTTGGCTGTTAGTACAGTGTAGAAGTTGATACTATTGAGAATGGAATTGGCAAATCTTAAAACAGAATGTTTAGATCATAAACATTTTAAAATAAGACTCCATAAAAAAGATGTATATTTTTTTAATATGAAATGTTAGTTGTGTTCTTGGCAGTCTTTGCTTCAGAGGAGTCACATGCATTTCAAAGAGTGTTCTGCTAGCCAGCTGCAGCCAAAAGATTATTTCAAACCAGTGGAGACCCAATTCCCTTTTCTCTTTTGCTTTTTTTCCTTTCTCTTGCACTCTCTTCTGTAGGACTGTCTATATATCATACAACTGAAGTGTAGCCAGTCATGGGGTGAAAAATTCATACAACTAGTATACACAACAGTGGAAAGCATAGAAACACCGACTAAAGATGCCAGTACTAGTCTGTGCTTTAAGAAGTACTGTTGAGATTTCTTTTCTTCAACACTCTTCAAATCTTCAAACTTCAAGAACTGTTGAATACTCTTTCAGAGCCAGCAGGATTGCATAAACTGTATGGAGAATTGCTTGCGTCTGCCCTGCGCTTACCTGTGGAGTGGCACAGTCATCTTTTTAACAATGACTTGATTCACCAGCGCTACAGGAAACCAGATACACTCCAGGGGCGTGCAGAAGGTGGTGGGTTTGGGGCATAACGCCTTATAGAAGATGTTAATGGAGTGGTTCTTTATTTAACTCAATGAAATGTTGACAGTTTATTGTGCTGCACATGATCTTTGGTTTTTATGTTTATTTGAAATAAATGTGTGTGAGAATGTTTGTTGTCCTGCTTTAAAGATGTCTTTAGAGGACTTCTTTTTATAAAATATGAACTTAGTGTTGATGAAAGGTATTGTATGTAGGTAGTTGTGCAGGCAGAAGTCTTGCCTTACCTCAAGCAAATACAGGTACCCCAGTAGAAGCTCCCTGTAAAGATCAAACGAAGTACATTTTCCAGTTATTCCAGAGCAGAACTTGACTCATTTTTTCCCCAAAATTGAAGGTAGAGCTTTCTCCACTTCAGTTTTGAAGCCTCTTATCGCTGTGTACTCTGCTGGATATGGGCTTGAAATCCCTGCCTGCTTTGGACTGAATGGGGACAATTGAAAGTGTTTTTACATTGATCACCGGCTGTAGCTGTAACAATCCTGAACAGAAAAGTCTTGTGTCCATTGCCCTAAAGTATCATTAGAAAAGGTTTTTATAGCCTTTCACTGAAAAGATGTGTGTGACTGAAGTTTGAAGCGACTGGTGGTGAGAAATTGAATGAAGAACAGGTGCCAGAAGAGTGTAATGTGCTATACTGACCATGTTTGGAACTGACCGTGAACCTACCCCTTAGCCAACCCAAATCCTTCCTGTATGGAGTGAAATGTCAGACTTTGGTTGATTTTAGGAGCATATACTTTAATGTAGTTTCTTTTCCTCTTTCTGAAGAACAGAGATTAATACAAAAAATGTATCTTCCATAGGCCCATGTGAACTTCATTCTTTGACTGTCCAGTTAGGAACTGTGAAGAAAGCCTTGCACGACACAGGCCTATAAGGAAATTAACTTTGGGGGTTTTATTAATTTCAGTTTTTATTTGCTCAGTCTGTGATTTGCAAACCAGACAGATACTAGATAATACTGTACAGAAAAATTGTATCATTACTTTAGAAATTTACCACATTCTCCTTGGGCTAAACTGGAAAGTTTACTCAATTGAGCAGAAGGAATTCTGTTGCTAGGTTTAAAAACAAACAAACAAACAAACAAACCCCAAAACCCTCAAACCCAAAACTTCTTAGAAATTGAGTTTTTAGATTCTTACCTAGATCAGCAGTAAGTGTCCTGAATTCAAAGATTAAAAGCATCTACTAGGTCTTATTCAAATATTTAGCTTATTGCAGATTAGAGATAAGTACCATACTACAAACACAGCAGGTCACTAGTTCCTGAGCTGATACCTTTAACAAAATGGGAAGGTAATGATGGTGAGAGATGTATCTGCAGAGGTTTTTCTGACTGATAATACTATGTTACCACTTTTCTCAGACTAACTTGGCAAGTAGGACTTGGATTGTCAGTGGAAAGAATCTAATCCATGATTTTGTTATAGTTGTTGTATGGGCACTCACTGCACAATATGCATTTAATCTGAAATTGTCCAGATTGTAAATCAAAGTTGCTTTCCTTCTTGTCTTTCCGCTCTTTGTCAGTACTTCTCAGCAACATTGCTGCTTGTGTCTGAGTTTCTCTGGTGCTACTGAATGTCATTCACAGGGAATCTGTTTGTTCCTAATTTGTATTTCCCTTTAGGTGATGGGCTGTATCAGCAACAGGAGTTATTGTCACTTCTCTGATTTCAGTTTAAGTACGATGAAGCATTCAAAAGAAATGTAGTTGCTTACATTGCATGCAGTCCTGTTACATTTCCCACAGGAGTGTAAAAAGACAGAGAGCAAACTACAACCCAGCTTCATGTCCTCCCACATATTTGCCTTGCAGACCTGCATGACTTGAGATATTTGTGCTCTTAGTAGCCTGTATTTAAAATAACCACATAATGGTAGCAGGAGACTGGCAAAAAGCAAAAAACTACCAAGAGCTGAAAACTGATCACGTAATGCTTGCGGGGGCGGGAGGGGGGAGGGGATGTACGTGTATTTTTGAGAAAATCTAGGTAAATGTTGTATTAAGTGCATCAGAAATATTGAGGGCAATTATTTGGATGAGTCTGCCCATTTGAGTAGTTTGTGGGGCTGAGGCCTTGATCATTTTGAGAAAGAGTCCTTTGCAGCTGTTTGCATGAGTAGGAAGGGTTAAACAATAAAGCAGAAATACATCTTCATGCTTTTGCTTAAAAATAAAAGGGCTGGATTTCAGAAGGAGCTGTAAAGCTTTCAACAAGAATCAGGCGAACACTACAGTAAAATGAAAAGCTGAAATGTGAAGAGTGCATGATGTGAGATGCCAGCTCAGCACTTTCAAAAGTCATGTACGGATCACGTTGCTCTAGGAGAGGAGACCACCCTTGGAATTGCAGTGAACTGTAGCAGTGACCGGCTGTTCTGCAATGTAAAGGAGTTATATGGGCTGATACCCCTCCACACAGTTATGTCACCCGGTGGTAGCCTGTCTTAACAGTTTTTCACCCTGAGGAAAATATATGTTATTTACAAGTACTTCTGTAGGGGTGGAAAAATCATCTTGCTATACAGATCCCAGCTGCACAAGGAAAGGAGGAGAGTAAGTGTGTTCATACAATAAAGGTTCTTTACTGAAGGTGTTTGTTTTTTCTCTTCTTTGTATAGGTTCAACATGGGAGAAAACATTACGGCAGATTGGTTTTGAAAGGTAAGCCATAAATTTGTTTCCTTACCAGAGCAAAAAGAAAAGGAAGACAAACTGCATGGGCAAGTTTGCAGAATTATTTATTTTAGCTGATTGAATGTATCTATGACTTCAACTTTAGAGAGGAAGTTATGCAGTGTCATGCACATATATGTTCAGCTCTTCTGTTTATGTACTCTTCTCTTTCCCCAGTCGATCTGAAGCAACTTATTCACCATATGAACTTGGCTCCTATGTTTTTTGCTGGCGACTATATAGCATGCTAGTATTAAAAAAGATGACACATTATCTGGGCAGAAGTCTTAGTTATGAATGAAAATACTGGTCTCGCTTATGTTATTTTTTCCATGAAACTTCTAACCTGTGACATATTAGTTGACAAAAGTAAATGAAGTTGAAAGAGGACCAAAGCTGGCAGAGAGCTATTTAGCATCAGAGGAAAATTCAGAATTCGGCATTCCTCAAGTGCAAGAACTTCTTGCTGCCAAACTTAACCACAGGGTCATCATACCAGAAACATATGTCTCTCTTGGAAATTAAACTAGGCCAAGCCCAGTGAAGAGTGATCTGATGTTGAGATTCAGATGCTCAATCTCAAGTTCATTCTTCTACAAATGGTAAGCAGAAGAATCTGCTTTCCACTTGAATAAAGTTTTGCTGTTTTCCCTCAATAGAGTGGCTTGCAGTTGTACACCAATGTGCTTGGGTCGCTGTTGGCTAGGCAAGAAGGGATTTCTCTTCTTCAGTAAGCATCCCTTTATGGCCACTGATAGAGAAGGATAGCGGGCTACTTCTGTGTTAGGTCTGATCCCCTACAGCTGTTCTTCTATTATGTATATGAACACTAACAAAAGAAGCAGCAGCAGCATATGTTTTGCTACTTAAAAACATACTGTCCGCAAGCTGTTGACTTAGGCACACCTGAGTCAGCTGTGAAATATCAATAGCATTTAAATGTGTTATTTGAGCAAGGACATTCTTATTCAGGAGGAAGCAAGATTTTTAGATAGACAAAAGGAAAGACATTCAAAGTAATGTCCTAAAGAGGAATATGTCTTTGCTTAAAAACTGGAAAATTCATATAAAATGTTACTCTTAAAGGGCTGATTTAGAGCAGATTGAGGAAGAGGAAAGGCAGACACTCAGTTTACATTGCAGAAAATTCAGCCCAGATAATATACAGGTTATGTCATCACTGCTTTGTAGTTACATGTTTATTCTGTAGTAGTAAAGTGTTTACACTGCTGTTGTCTTCATATCCTGAAAAACATAGAGGCACCAAGAGATCTGGCTGCGAGGCTTTTATGTAATCATTACTTGTGAGCTGAGGATGCTGCTTTTCAGTGTAAGAGAAATTAAAAGTGCTGGAACTTGAGTAAAGTAGCCTTATATCCAGGAAATTACTGGAGTTAAGAGCTTTTCAATTAAATGGAGTATATGTGGGTTTGGTAGATTTAAATGAAGGCCTTTATGTTATTGATTGGTTTTTGAGACATTATAATTGAGCTAATTCTAACATACTATGGTAGTCATCATCTTTGTCCAACATGATCTTGACTGCAGTCCCTGACTGCATTTTCTGAAGAACATTTTGGAGAAATTTGGAGAGTTATGAAAAATGTTGGCTTGTATGATGCTGTCCTAAAAGAAACATGGTTTAAAATGCTAAGTATGTGTGATACCTGCATGTCAAGCAAACTGTCACCTTGCATGGTTTCTTTAATAGTCTTTAATAAGCCAAAGCAGGTAGATTTGTGGATAAGTAGGATGACTTTTTTTTGCCACTGTTAACCTGGGGATTATTGTTCATTATTGGTGCATTTTTAGACAACACCCACACATTCATGAAAATGTCTGGAAAGCAGTCAGCTGTGTTCTACTTTGTTCCAAATATGACTAAAAATATGTTTCAGGAGGCATTGTTCATCTCACTGGTTTAAGATTTTTTCAGTCACACGCAGGACCCAGTGGAAATGGCTCCCTCAGACTCTCAAGTGATATAGTTATGAACAATTAACAGTGACTGTCCTTGTTTCGCGGCTACTCCCACAGTTAAAAAGAGAGCTTAATGCACAAAGCTGGTTAAAATTCAAAAGGGAAGAGGATCAGGTCAGTCATTGAGCTGGTCTTCTCCTGTAACGCAGTCTGTAGGGTCTCTCCAGCTCGTGGCTGGGGTGAGGCTTGCTTTGCAGAGCCTGGAAAGAGCCATGGCCAGCGTTGGGGAAACTGCTACTTCCACACTACAGAAAATTAAAACCAAAAGAAGGACTTTTTAAAAATCTAAATGTCTCTAGTTTGAGCTACCAGATGATGGAATTTACGTCCTTGTCTAGAAGATTCAATAGTGATTACAGAAATGTCTTCTGTTGTTATGTATTTGTTGACCTAGAAATGATCTAATCATCTTAAAACTTTAATCGAATGGTGTTGGACCTCTTAAAACTCATTGTCCTGCAGGGTCGCCAGACTTCCAGTCTTCCTCTTACTACTCTTCTCTGAGTTGTAATTTCTAATGTGACTAGTAACTACTCCACTACTAACAATGCATCTATTCCCCTTTTTACATTTGTTCCCATGGTGTTTCTCTCATCTGCGTAATGCTTTACGTTACTGTTCCCCAAAACAGGCTTAAGAATGATTTAATAACTGTTATTTTATGCTAAGTAAATACCAACTGTTTTAAAAAATATATATTTGAAGAATAACAGATGTGTGGTTATTACACTTTTGGCAACATTCAATAAATATGTTTTTCATAATAAATAGCTGTTTCAGTGACACAGAGAAAGGAACTTTTGAACACCAATTTCTTAGTAAAATGTAATTATCAGTATAAAAAAAATGAGGTTTCTGTATTGAAGATGCAACTTCTGTTTAGTTGATAGCTTCAAACTGATTATGAAATAATTGTTATTTTTGTGGTATGCAAAAATTTGTTATTAATTTGAAGTTATGTGTTTATATATGCAAAAGTATGTGACTTCCACTCTACATAAAGCTAATGTGACACATCTGCACTATTTGTACGGCAGCAACATCTATGTAGAAAGTGCAACATGCAGCATTCCAGATTCTGGCTAAAGTGTTGCTGAGGGAGATCGACAGTGAAAGTTGCTCCTGTTAGTCAAGTACTGTGTATTGACTTGCAGGCTTGTTATGCTCTTTCTTAAATCCTGTTACTATTTCTGAAGAATGAAATGGTAGTTGAGGATTGGTAGCTTTCACACCTGAAGGAAAAGACATGGAAAGGAGGTAGGAGCAGGGAAGGGAATAAGATTGTCAAGCAAAGAGGAAAAGACCAAAAGATTGCTATGTCAAGGCTAGACCCTGGGTAAGAAGATTGGCTCCTATTAAGATATATTCCAGATCTTCTGCGTATTTCAGTAACTCCTTCAACTACTTCCTAATCACAAGGTGGCAAGGAGGACAATCTGCATTGTTTTTGTCTGAAGCAAAATAAATGCAACAGCCCCGCATGCCACAGGTAGGGAGACACAGCTTTCCCAGTAGACGCCAGGAGCAAGTTAGCTGTCATCGCCAAGAGATGCTTTTTTGTTCCTATGTTGGTCTCTGAAAGCAGACGAATGTCTGCTTTTGCAGCTGCTCCACACATGCCTCTGCTCAGTCTAGCCAAAAATACTGTGTATATCTTCCCTACCCCTTGCAGAGACTGAGAACTCAATTTCCGAAACCACTCGTGACATGCAGTGAGCACCGGAATCCAGACGCATCAGAGGGACTTCCCAAGCGCCTCCTTCCAGGTCTAGGTTGCTAATTATGAGCCTACTGGTGATCTGTTTTCTCTCTTTCCCCCATCCTTAGATTGCTTCTAACTTGCTGGGATGTTTGATTGGTGCTTGGCCAGAGTTTCTCTGGGTGACATGTAAAGAATAAACAGAAAGAAGAGAATACCACTGGATTCTATAAATATTTATTATGCACAATTCTGGCTTGGAAATCCCAAGTACCATATGGTTTTCTGTAGTGACATGCCCCACTCCTCCCCACACTCTTCAGTGATTTAGTAAAAAGATTAAATATATGTTTGAAATACAAAGTCTTATCCTGATACCGTGTTCCATAATTTCAAGCCCTTTCTTCAAATACAGCAGAATCCTGTAGCCCATCCTTGGGCAAAGCTCCCATTGACATCATTTTGGGAGCACTGCCTCAGCCAGGGGCTGCAAGAGGCTGCAGGGTCTGATCCTGGAGAGGTTATTTTAAAAGAAATGGTGCAGTCTGAATGTGTTTTGCAAATATTGAATAATTTGAGTCTGGGAAGACAAGGAAAAATGGGTGCAGTGATACAATCAGAGGGATGTGGGGAAAGCCCTGCCAGGCACCTCTTTCACCATTTTGGAAAAAATAGCTGAAGTAGCCAATATAACTGTTTTGGTCTCTCTGTCCCACAAAGCACTTAAGTGCTTAAGTTTTCAGTGCCCAGGCGTGCCCTCTTACTTTGACAGAGTTCTCTTCTACAGTGTACCATCCTTTCATTGCAGCATATCAGAGAAATTTGATTAATTGATGTTTTGTTTATACTTTCTATTGCTGTGCCCACTCAGGCCTCACATTTGACAAGGGTTAGGTCATAGCCTTCCTCAGTGTTCTTGGCACATCTTTGTCTTAATATATGACATCCATTGTACTTTTGTAGGAGTTAATGAATGTGAATTTATTCTGCAGTGATTACAATTATGTATGTTCTTTGAAAAAATATGGCAGATAAATGTAAGGTAGGGAGCTGAGGAGATGGAACCAATTTCCCACCTTCCATTGGGAGGCTGTGAATAAAAAAGCAGCTAATTGCTTTGTCCTGGTTTCAGCTGGGATGTAGTTAACTGTCTTCCTAGTAGCTGGTACAGTGCTATGTTTTGAGTTCAGTATGTGAAGAATGTTGATAACACTGATGTTTTCAGTTGTTGCTCAGTAGTGTTTAGACTACAGTCAAGGATTTTTCAGCTTCTCATGCCCAGCCAGGGCACCTGACCCAAACTGGCCAA